TCATGTTTCCAAGAGTCTCAGAAAAATAGTTATTTTGGTTCTTTCTGTTTTTTTTTTGGTTTTTCTGGTTTGCAGGTTTTGGTTAGTGTGATTTTGTTTTTTCTTGTAGAGAAATAGTGCGTGCCCAAAACCCAGGGAAATACGGTGCTTTTTCAGATGCATCGTGCCTGTACTAGGCAAATATTGAACTAATACTATACGAAAGAAGCGAGTGAACTATCCTAGCTTTTGTTCACTCATAGAATATCTCTTGAAACATGTAGCGATTGTGCTCGGCAATCTAGACAAATACTGCAGCTTTAGAGACAAGATGTTTTTTTGAAAGCAATTCGTTCTGGTTCTAGAGAAGCAGTGCTTGTCCCAAGCCCAAGGAAATACTCTTCTAAACACATAGTGCGGCAAAAATGTTGAAATGCTACCATATGAAAGAGGCTGGCTGGTGAAGCATCTATGTCTAAAACACAGAATTCGCACAGAGAAGCTTACAAGTACACAGAATTCTCGTAGAGTTCTTAAAGAAACACGACTTCAGCACAACGATTATGTGTAGTAGATTTGACTATAAAACACGCATTTTTCATCACACAATGATGAAACACTGCTCGCGCACTAACTAAATACCACTTGTACAGGTTATATTCTGTCTCAAACGCACAATTCGCATAGACAAGCTCAAAAACATTTTTTCTTCGAAACCTATTTAACTCGTGAAGATCATAGTACTCGGAAATTCCAAATGCTAAATAAAGCCTTGGGAGAATCTCTGGCGAAGTTTGGACTATGGGTTGTCAGGTGTTTCGATACGAATAATGCAATTTTCCTAAGCAACGTTGTTTGTCCAAGCAAAATGTTGATTGAATAGGCAAATTGAATTTCTTTATTCATTGCATAGAAATTCAATACTAAGTACATACTGGTTTTGTCGGTTTAGTATGAATTCCTATTTTCAGCTTGCTTGGAGGGAGCAATGAAGGACAGCTATTGGGACACACGCCGCAAGCCGCCCGATAAGCAAGTCTTGGAGTTTGCAGAACCCCCGAAACGCAGCGGACATATTTTACCACCGAACCAATGATCACTATAAAAGTAGGCATGATAATATTGTTATGGTTAGTGGTAGGAATTATCCTCCTATTTGCTGTTATTGTTGTATGAGAAAGAGACCCTTTCCTGGGAATCCTGAAAGAACCGCGTCAGACCCAGTGTTGACACGTGCAGCTCAGCACGTGTTTGTTTACTACGACAACAGTAACAAACACAAAACACTTTAGGTGTTAACAGCAAAACTGCTATACCTTCCAGGTTTTTTGGCTTTCGGAGTATATAAGGTCACATAATTTAAAACCGAAATTCGGTTGCAGATTTCTAGACATTTTGCATGCGTGATGTGTTACGCAAAATAGTCCCGGAAATACTCGACAAGCACGATGTTATCGCTATTTACAGTGTCTTCGGCGTGCACTACTTGCATACAAGTGCGTGGAAGCAAGCAGAAGAGCAGTGTAGACCAGGAGGGTGTAAATCTTGGGGAAGCGGGGGGGTGACCACATACATATATATATATATGGACCTGGATCTAGGTATGAAACAGACCGGCCGAGATTCGCAGAGCACACGATGTCTTGCTGTCCTGTGTTAGAGGTGTCAGTGGTGGCGCAGGCTGCGGCTTCGATATGATTGTTTGTCGAAGTCAGCGCCGTCTTTCTATGTTCGCTCGGCTCGCAGCGGTTCGCACGTGGTTCCCAAAGTTTCGGTACCGGGTCTCAGTGAAAATCCTGCAGGCTCCAGCTTCAGAACCTTTCATTTGCCCTTCCCGCATCCAGCCAGCCCTCCAGCCCTCGAGCCCTCCAGCCCTCCAGGACTTGCACCGATCTCCAACCCGATTCGATTCCCGATCTTGTTGTTGGGTTGGCCGAGCATGTATCTTTGCGGGTACACCAACCACACCATGACACCCAGGCAATGATCCACTGCTGCAGTCGCATCGCAGTATGCTGGAAACAAATCGCCTCGGTAATGCATCCAGTTCCGCCACTTGCCTGAAAAGTGAAGAGCTTTGCCAAACCAATTTTCGGCGAGAGTAGTACAGTTCTCATTGCAGAAGCGCCGGCTGCAGAGGACTTGCTGGTAGAGTGGATTCCTGCAAGCAAGGTGTGGTGGATGCTCGACAAAGGCGCAGAAGATTCTTCTCGTGAAGCGTCCCTTTGCTGGCAGAGGACAAGGTTTACCCATGTTTGCCCAATTTGCTCGCTCTCAGACCTCTAAGGGTTTGGTGCCATTCAGGTTTGCAAGACGAGTTCAGGCCGAAGGCCGGATCTCATGTCGTGGTTGCAAATATGGGCTGGACACCGGCTTCACTTTTCAGCTTTGTCAGAGTGGAGGGTTTCGTTCTATCAAGGATCCTGAGTGGAAGGTTTTGCCCAATGCTGATCTGCGCTGCTCGTCGAAGCGGTGCAGCTGGTGAGGGCATGTGACTTCAGAAAGCTACGAATGAATCAAGCAGAATAATGCTGGATAGTGTTGCGCCCGCTTTTACCATTTTGCCTGCAATATTGCCCGCTATCATGCAAACTTTGAAAAAAATGAAGAATGATTCAGCGACCACCTGTTGATAAGGTTGCCCGGAAGAATGCGAAGTTCTCGGGCCAGGGATCCGGGAGGGGGGGAGGGGGCTGAAAAACAGCAACGTTGAAACAAGCAGAAAGAATAAGAAACTGAAGGTCTTTCTTTGTCAGGTGCTGAGCCAGAAAGTCGCAGGTATGTGCCTTGGGGTACAAGTGTTGCCGTATGGTCTGGAGGAGCTAGAAGCCCTTATTAAAACCCCAAACCCTAAAGCTCTAAAGGAGCTGGATCTCCTTCCTGCAGGGCCTCAAGCCCTCAACCCTTCAGGGTGTCCAAAACTGCACAATTGTTTGGGAGGGGTGCGGATACTAAAGTGAGCACAACTTTACTGACGAGATTCCCATGTGCTGCTCTTTGCAGGCAATAGAACAAAGCGAGAAGAGCTTTGGAGTCAAGCTCGGGGTGCCGACAACACTGACCCCAGGAGCGGTTAGCGCAACATGGCGCAGCCATGTCGGACTGATGTAGCTGATGTAGCTTGCCCTCGCCAAGCTTTTGCAGTACCCACGGTGCATGTTGCTCGCAACAATCCTCAACATGCACTAAATGTCTATCATAGGTTTGTTGTAAGCCTAGCGGCCCCTAGCACGAGCCACAAAAAGAAGGATCCTTAAACTCGCGCGGCTTTTGACAAATCATTGAGCAATCCGTGTACAGCCCCGCCGAAGAAGCAAAACATGCAGACATTCCAGAAAATCAGAAAAGATGCAGTGTTGTCAACGTGAAGCTCTTTCTACAGACGCTGAATTCTCCAAGTAGCTCGACACTTCCAAGGATTGTTTCAGCATACTTCGGCAGTCGTGGGCTCGATTGTTGTTGTTCTCGCTTTTTCCTCCAACCGCTTCCAACCCCTGAGCTTACACTGAAAGCACCTTGCATACTATGCGGACTCTACATCTACAGTCAACAAATGTGACCGCAGAACGGCCGTAGAGCAGCGAATGTACTAATTCGCGTAGCAAAGGAATTGCTGTGAGATTCCAATATGATGCACAAAAGCCAACAACAGCAACAAGCCTGTAAACTTGTAATCAAAGCGGATGCTCATTCGCATCCTGAACAAACTCACAAGCGTACAGCACCTTGATCATCATGTTGAGAAAGAATTGACTGAGCGGAGTAAGAAAAGAGATGCGGCAAGAGAATTGCCCCCCAACACCTAATCAGACTGCTGGGAGGAACCTCGAAAAGCCAGCAACATTTCTTGAGGTTGAGAATACGGGCCAGATCGGTTGGACAAGGCCTTAAACATGTTTGACAGATGCATCTCTCGAAGCCCTGTGCTTCTGAACCGGTTGCTCAAGGATGCTCAAATTTCTCTTGCGCTCCCGGTGTGGACGGATGCTTTGCGGACTCTTCGGCATTCAGTTTGACGGACTTGCAGTTGGCTAGCAACTTTGCGGTGTCATCGAAAGTATGAAATATTTTCTCAATAGAGAGAGAGAGAGAGGGAGCGGGAGAAGAAGAGGGAGAAGGAGAAGCAGAATCCAAAAGAACAAAGAGAAGCAGGAGCAAGACGAAGAAAAAGAAGAAGCAGAAACAAAAAAAGAGGAAGCAGAAGAAGAAAGAAGTGATAGCGAAAGAGCGGGAGCGCCTCTGCCGCGGGGGCATGCGGCGTGCGCATTGCTCTGGGGTGCGCCCCAACCCCTTGGAAGAACGCAAAGCAGAGAAACAGAAGAGCACATACAGTTCAGCTTCGTTGCTTTGCATGAAGGAGACTCGGCTTTTGGAATTCCACCGTGGTTCGCGCGAAGATGAGCGAGTTCCACCCTTAGTATACAACTTGCCGACTTGAAGCCGAAATGTCCACAACTAGGCACACCTACAATGTATGTAAAGAGGTACATTTACTCTTCCCCAAAACAAGCCAGTTGTTTGATGTGCTCTGTGCACTTGGTCGGGGCTGGGGTTTGGGGGAGCTCAGGGCCTTTTCAAAGAGACAAGAAGCAGAATGTCAGCACGGTGCTGCAGAGCCGACAGCGATAGCAGCTGCAGCAAAGTTGAAGAACAACTCAGGTATTTGTGTGCCCTCGCATACAAAGAAGCTCTGCAATTTCTGCGGGGGGAGCTTGGGTGACTTGGGCAGACTTTGTAACGGCTTTGCTACTGTAATTACGCTTCACTCATCATTTGTGCTTTGCGCAGTCCTGCGATGTGGTTGCCCAGGCGCGAGAGCATGATGGCTGAATCGTTGCAGACAGCGAACGTGTTATCCCGACATGTGACCGACATTGACGAGCAGCTTCAATCTGGAATCGCGCAGCAATCGAAAAGAGTTGCGAAAGTGCGCGACTTTATAGCTTCAAGGTGCGTGGTAGGACCTGTTGGTTGTTACGGGCCCCAAAGAAGCGAAACAAGTGAACCCTTCCCCTTCGGAGGAGCAAACGAAGGTTTTCACGAGCACAATGCCGCGGGCCGTCGCATCAGCTGTGGCCTTAGCAGCTTCGGTCTTCATTGAGTCTTCATCATGTGCATCATTTAGAAATGATTTGTCACCAGAGTCGATGCCAATCGCTGTCTCGTGACCCCGCAGGCAGCTCACACCAGTGTGTTGCCCGACAAGAGATCTGCACAAGACTCGGACTCTTCCCTGCCTCCCCGACCCTGAAGTTGGCTAGAAAGGTTTCTGGAGTCAATAAATCATTTTGGCTCCAAGGCGCTGAACCCAATCGACAAGGCTGATTGCAGACTGCTCTAATTGACAAGGTTTGTAGCATTTTGTAGCCATTTGCGCGGCACTTCAAGCCCATGATGCCCACATGGCAGGGTGTTTTGGGTGCCGGTTGGTGGGATGTTGAATGTCCAGACGATCTACCTCCATGGAGGGAGGCTGGGGGGGGTTGGACTTCTTGTGCCATGTCCCCGTGTTGAAAGAACATCCGTGGCCAGCATCTACTGGCCCTTCTTAGAGCCCTCACAACGGAACGACGGGTTCGTAGATGTGGTCAGTATCGTCAGGTAGAGAAACGTCACCCGGACTTCATGGCTCAGCCTGGTGCCTAGCTTCAGATCTTGCCAGTATGATGATGAGGAGAAAGAGCAGGAGAAGCAGGAGGAGGAGGAGGAGGAGGAGGAGGAGGAGGAGGAGGAGGGGACCACAAATGATGCCCACAGCTGAACAGCTTCCGAACGTCGAAGGTTCAAGCAAGACACAGACACAGACACAGACACAGACACAGACACAGACACAGACACAGACACAGACACAGACACAGACACAGACACAGACACAGACACAGACACAGACACAGACACAGACACACACACACACACCCACATATACCAAAAAACACTCTCACACCACCCACACACACACACACACACACACACGCAGCACAACGCAACACAAGGCGACACAACGCGACACGAAGCAATGCACACGGCACAGCACACGGCACACAGCACACAGCACACAGCAAGGCGACTGGCACTTGAACAGAAAACCAGCCGGTGTACACACAGTGACGACACCCGAAGAGGTTAGTAGGTGGTACATCATGCTTTCGACTCTTTCAAGGAAGCTTTGGCGGGTGAGACGTTTGATGCTGGTACGTCCAGCTGATCCGGCTGGAGTATTCCATCTGCAACTGTAGCTTCATTGCACACGGTAGGTTGCAAATGGCATGTGCCCCTGCTTTGCTATCAGAGCGTTCACACACACAGTCGCCCCATGTGGGGTAGCATACTATTCCCATGCCAAGAATCTTTTGGCGATCGTTTCAAGACGCCATTGCAGGTGTCCCTTTTGGGAATACATGTTGACCATCTCTCGGACCTCGGAACGCTTGTGAGACCCAGGGAAACCACATCTTGCAACCATACAAGTTCGACTGTTCACTGCCACAGCTGTGGGTATCCCCTGCAGGAATACATACTGACAATGACCTATGGCATCCGAATATGACAGGTTATTCTTAATGGAAAACATGTCAAGGATGCACCGTGCATCCTTACAAGCATATTCTTGTGTCATGATTGTGTTAAACAGAGACGTGCAGGTGAGACTGACAAAGAGCAACAATAGCATCAGGCATCAGGCACAACGAGCAAGAAGAGGTGCGAGCATCAAGAGCAGAAAGAAAACAAAGACAGCCGCCGACTGTACAGCTTGAATTACACCGAATTCCAAACACAACCTGCGACAGACACGATGCAGAAAGCAAATGCTGCACAATCTTGTCACTTTCAAGAACTGTGCAACTTTTCGGGAAGAGAAAAGACTTATCTACCTTGAGCCAAAAGAGTTAGGTATTCAAGGGGAGGGGGGGAGGGGGGGCAGGAAGGAAGTGGGACATTTGGGTCTCGGTGGTGGAGGCCTTGCTTGGAGCCACGTTTGGAGGCAAACTTGGTCTTCTTGCACCAAATGACCTCAATGGTCCATCCACATAAGATGGAATCGGTGAATGTGCGTTTGAGGCACCATAGGCACCTCCGTGGCTCAAGTGAATCAAGTTTCGTAACTTTAGGTTGGTAACTTTGGGTTGGTTGGTGAAGTCAGGTATAGGAGGTTGGTAACTTCAAGAGGTGTGATCAAGGTTGGCGGATCGAGTTTGAGGATCGGATTGGTAAATTCAGCTACTGTCCAACAGGCCTCACGACTGGCACTTAGACAGAAAACCAGCCGGTGTACAAGTGTACACACAGTGACGACCCCCGAAGAGGTTATTAGGTGGTACATCATGCTTTCGACTCTTTCAAGGAAGCTTTGGAGGGTGAGACGTTTGATGCTGGTACGTCCAGCTGATCCGGCTGGAGTATCCCATCTGCAACTGTAACTTCATTGCACACGGTAGGTTGCAAATGGCATGTGCCCCTGCTTTTGATTCTTGACGTCACTTGACCATCGAACTCTGTGCTATCAGGGCGTTCAGACACACACACGCACACACACGATCGCGCATGCACATGATCCTATTGTGGTACTAGTACAAGTGCTTGAAGGTCTTCGGACTTTGTTTGCTCTGCGCATTGCTTTCAGCACAGAGACAGTCATTCGCAAGGAGTTTCAGAGCATGTGATGTGGTTGTCTTTGCTTTCAACACGAGAGTCATTCGCAAGGAGTTCAGAGCATTGTCTTTGGATGTCTTTGGTACTAAACAAAATCAAAGAATCAAGCCCTCCGAGGTGGTACAAGAACCCGTTGATCTGCCATTTTCCAGGTGGTGAAAGTCCCTTGCTCAGCTGCAGGCTGAAAGCTGTAGAAACCCTTGGTTGTTAGGATCCCACATGTTTCCCTTGATCCTCAGGTTACTTGGACGTCATCATGCGCTTGGAGAGTGTGTTGATCGACGTGATGCCCCTAATCCCTGGTGGGTGCGTGTGTACTCATCAAGACTGGTAGAGCGAGGGAGTGGCACATGGCGACAACTCGCGAGCGCATGGGGACGCTCCCGGTGGTTTCAGTAGCCTTCCGGCCTGCAAAAGTTTGATTATGACCTTTTGTGGGATAGGTTGAAATGTGCACCTCACCAGTTCTCATCGTCAGAAGCCCAGAGAATCAGAGTTTTGTTCATCACGTCGATGACCCTATGTGACTATGTGCAACGTGCATGTATGTGCAAATTCGATCCGCTTCATGCCGAGGCGGGTCAGACATGTCTAATTGAGACTTATTGAGGTGAGCCACATCACAGTTCTCCAGTTGTTGTTGGCGTACTTCAAAGGGCACCTTGCCGGCACATGTGATGATGAGAGCTCTGCAGCCAGCTTGTGAGTGGCTCTCGCAGTCAGGATTGCAGGATGTTGCAGCAGGGTTCCGCAGCGCGGGTTTAGGGGTTAGGGTTTAGGGTTTAGGGTTGAAGCAAGAAATTCAATTGTTTGTTGAACTGAGGGTGCCAGTCGAAGAGGCACGGGCTGTGCCATGAATCCGACACATTCCTTAGCATGAGCAACAAACCGAACGTTGGCAATTCTGAATGCGCTCCTCTTCTCTGGCTTGCCTGGTGCACGTGTAGGACAAGTCTAATTGCAGTGTGTCACCGCATTTTTGACCCTCCAACAGTGGGCCCACTTGTAGCCAGAAATCTTCCATGTGCAGCTCGTTGTGGCTGAGATTTGTTGGATTCACCCGGCGCGCAGGGTTTCGTTCCTTGCATGGCGACAGCCCGGTCCGCTGCTACAATGAGCAGTCATGGCTTCAGCACGATGACATTTAGGGAATACCGGCCGATCGCGTTAACAGGGCTTCAGCACGGTGACACCCCTGTCCAAGAGGGTGGTCGAGTTCAAAAGAACGGGTGTTACGCGCATGCTGCTGCTGCTGCGGCAACCAACATCCCAATCTTCGAAGGTGGTTGATCAGTGCCGTGCACAGGGTTGGGCCAGCAACACTGTTCCGCAGATCTCTCGTTGGATAGATAGAAAGTTGCAATTGCCCAAAAACATGGAGAGATCAAAAGGACGCCGAAACGAAGTCTTCCACGCACTTATATAAAGCAAGCACAGGAAACGCAGCTCCATGGAACACCTGGCTTGCCCGGGTTATCACTCACCTAAAGATCGGTGAGGATGCAAGAAGATGTTACCAGTGCGATACAAGTGAAATCAGGCAGGCTCACGCGCAAGAAATTGTCGCAACCGAAGCTTGGTGATGAAAAGTTGGAACAGCAGTATTTGCCCGGTTTGGGAGTTCAGGAAAGTTTGGTTGGGGAAATTCAACTGTGAGCCGGCAGTGCCAGGAAGCAACAGAGGCTGAGACAAATCAGAGAATCCCCAAAAAGCACCTCACGATTCCAATGGTGCAGCCAGACGATGAGGCAGTAATGGGCAATCACGCCAAATCACACCGGCCCAACAACGATTACTTGTAGCAAAGCTAGGGCAGCTAGGGTGTTGAAGTGGCGAGGCTTGGAAGATGTCTTTGCCCAAGTTCGGGGTAGTCGAGGCAGGCTGACGCTGAGTTTTTCGGGGGTTCCTGAATGTGCCGGCTGCCGTGTTATGTCAAGCCAAATGCAGGTGAATCCCACTTCCGGCGGCAGCTTTCTGTGCGAGGAGTTTGCTGAAAGGGATTCTTCATTGGTGTTTGACATATGGTCAAGCAAAAAGGCCTCAAACCAGATCAGCCAATCAAAAAACTGTTTTGAGGAGCACCTTTTAACATGCCAGCGACTGGGAGGCTAGTGCTGCACAGTGTGTGTGCCAGTAGTGTGCCGCCGTTTGTTCATGCATGCTTACTCGTTTACTCCGTTTACTCGAAAACGACCTTGCGGAGGTGATTCTGCTCCATCACTGGACAAGAGGTGTAGAGAGGACGCCAGCGTTTGGCCAAGTCACCACGTCGCTGTGCAAGCATCTGGTCAAGTCAGAGCATCTCGCACCGAGGTGATGCCGCGTGGCCCTCAACCAGCATCTGCATGATCCCATGGCACACGGGCAGGAAGTGCATACAGGTGCTTGCAATAGTGTGCAACAGGCTACAAAGCCGAATGTCGCAAGCACGAATATTGAACATGGTGAGCGTGCACTGTGCATCAAATGGCTGCCGCACCAAGGTAGCAGATGTGAAGCGACCCAAAGTGTCCGCGAGTTAATGCCCTAGCTTTTTTAGAACAGCGGAAGCGTGCAGAATCGCAGAGTCACAGGAATCTCGTCATCAGCCCCTTCTAGCCGTCGGTCACCTCTTGGGATATGTTCACAGCTGGAAAAATCTGCGATGCTCATGGCTTCTTTGCTTTGTTAATACCCTTTTCCAAAGGTCCGACTCCAGGCGAATTCGTGCGCCTGAGTTTCAAACCAAGACAGGACATAGTGTTTGTGCCACTGTTCGTGACGGGCCCGACTTGAATGCCCTCACTGCCCCAATCTTCCACGTGACCAGGGCGGGGCAGTAGCATCCCTGGTCTTTGGTTGCATGAGGACAGCCGAGGATAGCAAGAGGACAGCTGGGGTTTGGGGTTTAAGGCTCTTAGGGTTTAGGGCAAGGGGGGTCACAAGAGGAATTGCAGTGTTTCGCTTGTTCTTGGGGAGCATAAAGTGCTTTGTTTGCTTGGCAGAGAGCAGGTGAG